GCTTTGCCACGCTGAAACTGTGACTTACTCATCAGAATTGATTGACATTGCAGATGCTACTGGATGAGATCAGGGGTAAGGCAGTCGTGTTCACGGGCCACTCCCTCGGTGGCGCCATTGCGGCCCTCGCGGCGCTACACTTCCTCTGCATCTCGTCGTCAAGCTCACCATGGGCACCTGCTCCTCCTGTCCTGTGCGTCACCTTTGGAAGCCCATTACTAGGCAACGAGGCGCTGTCCAGGGCCATCCTGCGCGAGCGCTGGGGTGGTAACTTCTGCCACGTAGTCTCACAGCACGACGTCGTCCCAAGGCTCCTCTTCTGCCCCCCGGACGCCGTCCCTGCGCACATCATTGTCGGAATGCAACTGCATCAATGGCCAGCGCGGACTCGCCAAACAGGCGCGGTGACCACAGTCACCATGCGCATGGCGGACACTGACAAGGATGCGCTCCGGCAGCTGATACAGAGGCACGTTGGCGCTGTGGCCATGGAGCAGAAGCTTGCCGCTCCTGATGAGACCACACGTGGGAGCCCGTACCGGCCATTTGGGACGTACGTGCTGTGCTCCCCAGAAGGCGCGGCGTGCGTGGACAACGCGACCGCCGTGGTACAGATGCTGTACGCCACCTTCGCCTCTCGGAGCTCGCCCAGTGCAGGGTCCCCGGAGGCCGCACACTCCTGCTACGGCGAGCTCGTGCTGAAAATGCCACAACACTTGCTCCTCAAGAGACGCCTGCGTGTGGACGACGCGCCGGCCACGCCCAACTACGATGACGGCGTCTCCCTCGCGCTGGAGGCCTCCGGCATCGACGCCATGGTGAGGGCACACGTACGTACATACTATTTGTCTGCGTGTATAAAACTACAGCGCGTGTTCAGTGTAGTATATATATCTTGTCTGACATGCTGGCATTGCCATCGGCGACGGCAGGCCATGGAGGCGTCGACGGCGCGGCAGTGGCTGAAGACATCGAAGCGGGCAGGGCGGCGGCCGAGCCTGAACTCCGCTCGCCTGGCGACGCAGCTGGGCCGGATCACGCCGTGCCGTGCGCAGATCGAATGGTACAAGGCGCTGTTCGACGCGGAGATGGGGTACTACGACGCGTTCAAGCAGCGGCGGTCGCCCAGGAAGTACAGCAAGGTGAACTTAAACCGCATCAAGCTGGGCCAGTTCTGGGACCGCGTGCTCACCATGCTCGACGCCGGCCAGCTCCCCCACGATTTCCACCGCCGCGCCAAGTGGGTCAACGCCGCCCGCTTCTACCAGCTCCTTGTCGAGCCTCTCGACATCGCTGACTACCACCACCACGGCCACCACCGGACGAGCGGGAGCTACATGACGCACGGCCGGGAGAGGAGGTACGAGCTGTTCGACAGGTGGTGGCAGGAGAAGGCATGCACGGGCGGCGCTGGCGGCGACGTCACGTCCTCCATGTTGGCAGCGTCGGCGAGCAGCCGGAGACGCAGCAAGTACGCCGGGCTCACGCAGGACCCGTGCTTCTGGGCGAGAGTGGAGGAGGCGAGGGAGCAGACAGAGAGTGCCCAGGGCGAGCGCGACGTGGCGGAGCTGGCGATGAAGCTGGAGGAGCTGCAAGAGTTCGAGCGCTACTTCCGTGAGCTGGTGGCGAGCAAGGAGGTGTCTGTCGACGTGCTCGCGCCGCAGTCGAGCTACACGCTGTGGGTGGAGGAGTGGAACCAGCTCAAGCTCAGGGATGAAGTGAGGACAATGTTGCTTCGGTTTTGAGCTGGGCTGCAAAACAGCTGATGAATTCGTAGGTAGCTGATGGGCATTCTCCAAATAGTTCAGATATACATGAATCATTGGATCATGGTCCATGGATGCTAGTATAGGTGATTGTAAATATATCTAAACCTAGAAGCACTGCAGTGGATTGCAATATATTTGTTCTTTCATGGGTACCCTTGATGGCCTGATACTGATTCACAACAGCGTGTTTGGATTGTGGAAGGATCAGGTCCGGCACCAACTCATGCGGCATGGAACCTATCCAGCAGGTTCGGATGATGACCGGCAGTCGGCGGACGGTGTCGTCCGGCTGTCGGTCTGGACCATTCGGCTCCTTAATCCAAACACGCTAAAAAGTTCAGATATGGATGGATGGATCATGGATGCCCGTAAACTCCAATATATATAGGTGGCCGGTGGTACCTCTCATCACTCTTCTTCTATCGATTCTTGTTGCTCCCCCCTCTCTTCTTCCATTACTCGGTCCATTATCTCTTACATAGTTTAAAGTTGCAAAATCTTCGTGGCATCACACTACTCGTGTCGGGGCCTAGCCAGGTAAGCCTGATCGACCATGCATGTCGCATCTTGGCATCCACACGTGTGACTAGCTTCTATCTTTTTAACCTCACAACAGAAGTAGACAATTGACACCAATTTAAATTGAGTCAATCTCCAATAAATTTCTCAAATGGGATTAATCCGTTGTAGCTAGCATTTATTATGAGTCTTAAGGTATAATTAAAGAGCACTCTAAATTTTAAATAAGATTATATGTTGCCAATTAAATCTAACAAGATAGCTAGCTAATTATGGGTCTTAGGACCATACAATATGTTGTATGTCCCGTGCAATACACAGGTATGTTCGCAAGTAAAATATAAAAGAATACCAAGTTGCATTTAGGGACAGTTTCGAAACAATGGTTTTTTTTCTAGAAAGATGTTGAAATTCAAATGTTTTATATCAATCACATAAAGCTATGGTGCTTGAAACAGATTCTTTGGTGAGCAAACCATATGAATATTTTATGACCCGGTGGGGGGGGAGAGTACAGTTTTCGTTGAAAATTTCAAATTTAAATAAATTTTAAGAACAGGTGTACTGCTAGCCCCCTAAACAAAAGAAATATCCCATTTATGGTGAGGCAGATTTAGGTAGATGCTAAAAATCAAGCATGATCCGTTTGCATATATCCGGCATCATAGCTTACATAGTTTTGAAATTAAAAGTTCTTCCCGAAAATGTTATATTTAAATTTTTGGTTCTGCTATTTGCCTTAAAATGTTTTATAAAAATCCAGGAAAAAATCATCTAAATTCATTTTTAGAAAATAATATTTTATCATGTAATTTCTCAGCATATGTGGTTTGGGGAAATCTAATTTTTTTTAACGAAGTGCATCCTCAAAACTATTTGTTTTTAAAATTTAATTTAGAACCATACAAAACAATATCAAAGTTTTCAAGCATGCTAAAAATATTTCTACACGTGGGGATTGAGGTTTAGAAATTTTTGGGCTATTACACTAGGCTCTATTGAAATAAGAAGTTTTTTCTTGAGATATGAAAGGTTACAACTTCCATTTTTCTTACATGGCCAGTGTTGGCCCACGAAGAAGCGAGCAGGTCCCATTTATTTCTTTATGGGCCATTTGGCCCATGGACGCGCGTGCCGTCTCATTCGCTAGCCGTCGCCATTGGAGGAGATATGGGCAGGGACAGCTGGACCTCTTGTTTTTATTTTTTTTGTTTTCCTTTATTTTATTTTCCTCTTTTACTTTCCTGTTTTAAATTTGATCTTCATTTCACTAATATTTTTTCTCTTTATTACTTCTAATGTGATCGCCAATTTTTTTTGTTTCCTGGTACTTTGTGTACATTATTCTTTTTCTATTGTTGAGATTTTTCTGGTAAAGTTATAACATATCTGTTTTTTAAGGTAAGATATTTTTTCTATGCCACTAAAAACATTATTGTGATTCTAGAATTTTTTTATCATGATGTTAAAACATTTTTTATTAAGCGTAGAACATTATTTTGGCATACTAACTTTGCATATGTTCTCAACCTGGAACAACTTTCTCACGTAGCTAGAACAATTTTTCGTTGGGGCCTGCAACATTTTTGTCGTGAATTTGGAACTCGTGTAGTTGAAACATACTCCTAAATTCCAAAAGAATTATCGTGAATCTAGCTACTAGAATAATCTTCTCCCTGACATGGGGCAATTTTCTCATTAACTTATAACATTTTTCTTCTTAATAAATGTTCCATCTACGGCCTTGTTTGGATGCATGTGTATCCACTTCAATCCACATGTATTTGAGTGGATTAGATAGAACTTAGTTTAATTCCACTATAATCCACTTCAAGACTTGTGCATTGAGATGAATACATGCGCATCCAAACAAGGCCTACATGAGGAAAATGGTTCTGCAAGAAAGTATGATCCAAATGTACTCAGCTGCAATCTTATTTTTGTTTGTAGGAAATACAATGATACAATCAAAATTCAATTTGGCTATTCTATTGGCAAACTATGGTTGTTTTAAGTTTTGAGAGAAGATGTTTATTTTTATTAAGAAAGGCGCTCACATATCTGATATATATCAAGGAAAACAATAGCTTGTACAGAAGGATGACATGACACAAAATCTATAACTAAGCTATACATGATCGAATGAGTATAAAATTTTTACTATAGTTCAATCATACAATAATTAGCTCACTATAAAATTTCATCACAATTGGACCATAGAAACTGTAGCTATGAATTATTCCAATTAATTACATAAAAGCATAGATCTAAAACCATAGTAAAAACTTTGTACTAAAGCATACCATATTATATATTCACTGTGTAGATCTACTCATGTGAAGTCCAACAAAATTGGATTTTCCATTTTATGATTTTTCTGTGATTTTCAAAGATTCAGCCGAAATAAATAAAAAAGAAAAAACAAAACCACATTTAAAACTGCTTATAACAGGGCCAAGGAGTAAGATGAATTATTTTATAAAAGTTGAGGAAAGTGTTTTACCCAGTTTTGAAGTTCAGGAAGAAAAAACAAACTTTCATAAAAGTTAAGGGAGGTAGGTAATGTGGACTTTTTCCTACCAGGTTCCAAGCCCAAAAACCACATGTCCACACAGCCCAACAAAGTCATGGACTCACGGCCCATTCGCCTGAGACACACTACAAAGGACTTCGCCGCCGCCGCCTTTCTCCTGTGGCCTGCCTGTGGCGAAGATGGCGGCGGCGGCGCTGGACATCGCGGAGCTCTCCTTCTCCGACCTAGTTGTCCTCCTATCTCCCGAGACGCCTGTTAACGACGGCCGCTCCGCCGCGTTGTGGACACCGTCGCGGCCGAGCTCGGCCGAGGTGGATCGGGGCTGCTGGCCATCGCCGGAGTGCCGCGCATGGGCGCCCTCCGCCGGCGACTCCTCCCTTGGCCCGACGCCTCGCCCTCATGGACCACCGACCCGCTCCCAACTCCTCAAGGTAACCCTCCCCTTCCCCTTTCCTTCTTCTCGTTGTTGACCTTGAAACTGCAATGTTCCTTGATATATTTCCGTCGATTATTTCAGAAGCACGGATTGGGCAGCGACGTTCCTTTGAAGAAGCTCGATCGGTCCGTATCCTCGTTCGCGCAGCTTCTAAGGCATTCAGGTGAACTCACCTTGCTTGAGTCTGTCAACAACAACAATGAGTTTAATTCTTAGGATAAGATACAGGATTGTGACCAACCTGAGGAGGCTAACGGTGATGATGATACGGAGAATCTTGGTGACCTCGTTAAGGAGCTTGGTTTGTACATGATGGAGCTTGGGATTTTGGTTGCACGAGCTTGCGATATTGTCATCGGTAGAGGTCAGCTAGAGCAGAGCATCACCGACTTTGGGACGGCAAAGGCGAGGCTCATTCACTACCATTCTGAGCTGGATAACAATGTCATCAGGGATAAGAGCACAAAGAGGAAAGGTTCGGTGAATAAAGTGGCAGTTAAACCTTCTCAGTCGTGTTCTGGAAGGAGGTCTGGGTGCTGCATTAAGTCAGAAGATGGGACTACTGTAACGTCAATAAAAGAAAATGATTCTAAGGATGCCTCGATTC